GCCTTAATGTACACATGAATAAGTGTGTAATGCCATCTTTAAGGAAAATGGGCATTTAGAGCAAGGGTTCCATACATAAGCAAGCTACCTTAGACATTCCTTCTAGAGCTAATGAGAAGTCAAAAGAGAGATCCAAAGACCCACTGCTCAGTCTATCAGTCTGCAATTCACTTTAAGGTCAATGACTGCATAAACCAACCCTTCTGACAGAACTCCTTCAGGTCAGCCTCAGCTTCAAGAGTCATTTGAATGCACTGCTCAGTTTCAAGGTTTGCTAACCACAGACCTTGAGTAGTTCAAATCTAGGGGTCTTCTTTGTATGGTAGACATGAGGGCTGCCTCCCCAGAAACCACTGCCTCTCCTCTTCTCACTCCACAGACCCAGATCCCAGAAGCCACCAAAGCCAAAATGTCTGGGAGACACAGGTTCGTCAAATGATTCACCTCCTGCTAGTCCCAGGGACATAATTTCTTCAGTGATGGAGAAAGTGAATGTCCCTCCCCTGTTCCCTGTGTGGGTCATGAAGGCTAGAGGCTGCTGTAGCCCCTCAGTCAGTGAGCTGAGGATGATGGTAGAGATGGGTGGAGATAAGCTGACTGGGGGTGACCTGAGCCACCAAATCAGACAAGGACTTGCTCTGTGGAGCAATATAGACAACTTCAAACTAGACAAAGTTGGTACCCATTCTGGTGTTCCACATATACATAATTTTTGTTAATGGATATCCATCATGGCAGATTGTTGTGGGCTGACCTGATCCAAGGCTTTCTCTGAAGCCCTGATATATGGAGAAGGAAGACAGTTCCTTCGGTAAAACCAGGAATATACTTGACAGATCAAGTAATAGCCAGAGCCTTAGGAGAGGTGCAATATTGAATTGACTCCCTAGAAACCAACTCTTCCCTCTTAAGGGCCTCTGGTTGTCAGTCCCGAGGCTTCTGTGTGTTCCATCTGCAATGCCCTTAGACACACTGTGTTCTCTTTGTGCAGCATTACTTGATTACTCTCCTGCTGATTTTAGCCCATTGTATGATACTTTCCCCTGTCCCACGTTCCCCTCTGAAAACTATATATAAGATGCTGTACCTCTTAATAACATTGCTTGGCATAAGGCATACCTTGTGCAAGACCTCCTAACACCAAATTTGCTATCTTTATAAATTTTTGATTCCCTGGTCCTCCCCCCTCAATGACCTGTTACTGGAAGAACAGCCTGCTCGTCCAGGTTAGCAGACAGTCTGTGGACATTCAGAAACACTCAGGATGTATTCATGGCCACCCTTCTCTTTCCTCTCCAGGGATAGGATGACAAAGCAACTTTCAGAGTCTAGAAAAGGTTGTGATAGAGACCTCTGTCCAGTGGGAGGAATCAGAGTCCAATCTCAGAGCTCAAGCAGGGTGTCCATGTGTCTCCCTCTCTGTCAGCATAGCCTCTCTTCACCCCTCACCAGCCTTTACATCTGACTGAGCACTCACTGTGGTCCTCCTTGTCTTCCAAGCCAGGCTATCTTGGAACAACACGCATGCTAGTGATGGCTCAGGGTGACCTCCCGGGCTTCCTTTTATCTCCAATGGGTACAATCTTTTCTCAATGGTGGACATAAAAAAGAATGTAATTTCTCAGCTGCGACAGTTGGTCACAGGCATTGCATTTAACTAGAACTGTGGGGACATTCCAGCACAAGTGATCTGTACATTATGTTTCTACTATCAAATACCATTATCTTTGCTTCTGGAAACTCGAGTGTGGCCTGGCCTTGCAGCTAGTCTTCGGTGTGATCCTCAGAGTCAGTGGCTTTCTCATTTAACTTCTCTGGAGTGTGTTAAGTGAGAAGGCAAAGTTTGAAACATCTTAATGCAACTTAACTCCATCATGTCTTCAGACCTCTTGGAGATCATTGTAGTCAGTCTCACCAGAATGCAGGAATTGCAACTGCCCTGAATGTATACACCAGACAATATTGTGACCTATTATAGACAGCTGCTGTGGCTAATATGACAAAATTAAAAGGGTAACTTTAAATCTATTATTCAGAAAAGAAATTTGGAAAAGAACATGGCCCAACAAGGGATAAATGCATGACAACCAGAAAGGTCAAGATTCCGTCAAGACCCTTTAGGGAGACATGGATATTGAGTAATTGATGACTGTCAGCCTGCACCACAGAGCAAGGTTCCTTGCCTGTCAGAATTGCCAAGAGAATCTCCCAGAACCCCACTCCCCCAGAGCAATCCTCCCACCAGATCCTGCTTGGGGAGTTGGAGCTGGGTTGTGAGCTCTGGGAAATAGTCACAGACAGACCAAAGCAAATGAATTCAGAACTGAGTGTTGAGTGAGCATGTTCTAGACTCAGAGTTTCTAGGACACAAGGTCAGAATCTGTGAGTGCTTAGAAAACATTTGCTTTCGAAGTTTTCTTGAGTCTATCAAAATGAAGGCAACGCTTGGGTGGGGGCAGGGGCGATGCAATGGAGCTGTGCCCAAAAGTACTTGCATACATTCCCAAGGTATGGCGGCTTTTATGAGGACTCTGAACTGTAGCCCTCTTCCCTCCTGTGTGGTACCCTGAGCTTGACCCTACACTGCTCTCTGGTTTTATTTTTCTTACTAATAGCAACACTTGGGACTCTTTGCCTCCTTGCTTTTAACTCAAAGGAGAACAGACAGATTTACATGTCCTACATTTGCTCAGTGCTTAGCAGAGTGTTTGCAGCTCCTGATGGAATTATTAATGTTGGAAGGAGGGCTTAGCTCTGTGGACTCTGCATCTGAGAGGGTCTGGGGACACTTCAGAGCAGTAGCGGTAGAACACCTGGCACAATCATCAGTGGCAAAACAAAAGCTTCTACTTTGCTTTAGCAGAGGGAACACAGAAGTGGCACGCCAGGAGGGCCCTACAGCATGACTTTTGTGTTGCCTGGTCCTCTCAAGGCCAGGACACATAGTTCCCTAACAGCACAACCTACAGAAACAGACACTATCCATGGAAAATCTCCCAAACAAAAGGGCTAGAAGAATAAAGGAAACAGGCCCTTTCAAAGCCTTCTTGGAATATGGAGACTCACCCAAGGCCCCGGTTGCTTTCTATAGCATCTTTCTCTGACAGCTGGTGTCACCACCTGTCAGAACCTTTGCAGTGACTGTATTCTCTACTGGGCTTAGAGAGGGCTGCTCTGTGGTTGCTCCTGTGGTATGGAAGTGATGTAAAGTTCCATCAGGGTTAGCTGTTAGGAAGGTCCCAGGAGCCATGTTTCAGTCAGGTCTGGGAATATTCATTACCCTATGTACCATGGTCCTGTTGCTGTCTCCATCCACTGCATTCCACTCTTGAGTAATGTTCATGAGAGCCTTTGATTCTGGGGGAGGTGGGCGTGGCAAAACTTCACACCAGGCAGGAGAATCTGAGAACCATTGCCCCATTCTAAGTCCCAAGGAAGTGAGACATGACTACAGGACAAAAGCTGTGAAGGTCACTTGCCACCAAAGCACATCTCTGCTCAAGCAAAGACATCCCCATGCTCCCCAGATCCAGAGAGAGAGTCCCAGTTCCTTCGTATTAATTAAGTCTCTGCCGTTCTTCTGGTCCCTGCTGCATCCACTCGGAAGCAGCACTCACAAAACAAGTGTCTGTCTCCCCTAATCTGCTCACAGTCCCTTCCACACCACTCATCTTCTGCCTGTGGAGGTCAGAAGAGGGCATCAGGCTGGAGTTATAAGCGGCTGTGTGCCAGTTGATGTGGGGACTGAGAGCTGTGATGCTCCTAGATCTTAGCAGCAGAGCCATCTGTCCAGCCCCCTGTAATATCTTTATATGTTACAGTGTTAGTTTGCTACTAGCTTTCTGTGCACCTGTCCTCACAAGGAACACTGGTCTGCAGTTCCGATTTTTCCCTGGCAGTGTCCACCACCTTTTAGTAAAGATATCAATTTCATTTCACTTACATCTTGGTCCAATGGCTTGACCACCTGTGTGCACTTTGTACCTATATTTTGCTTCCCCACATTGCAGTGTCGACTCACTTTCCACCTTGAAGTCTAACACATGTGCAGTCAGCTTACTGAGGACTGGAACCTGCACATGAGCATCCAAAGTGATGATGGTGATACAGTAAACAGCGTCTGCTGCCCTCTAGGGCCCTGTGACAGGCCCACATGGCTACCTTACAAGCAACACTTCCTTTCCCACCACCCGGGAGGGCCACCCCACATCCCACTTTATCCACAAATGTGGAGGTAAAACAAACAAACAAACAAAAACCTAACCTTAACTAAAAGACCTTTCTGTCCCTGAGGCTCCCAAGCAATTCTGTCTCGGCCACTGTACAGGACATGTGGGTGAACTCAATGCTTTCAGGGCACTGCTCTGGATTCTAGAATGTTTTTGTTATTACCTGAGAGAATTTTGTCTCTGGATCCATCAATATTTAACTCTATCAGTTTTACCCAATTGGTAATTTGCCCTTAGTTCACAGTCATCATGTGTTGCTTGAGCATTTTCTTAATTCTTCCTTTCTCTACCACCCAGATAAGAGATCCTAAATGATTTCTAATGCTTCTACCTTAATTTCAAGATGAATAGGCAACAGCCAATTTTTAATCTGTGCCATTTTTTTGTTTTGTTTTGTTTTGTTTTTCGAGACAGGGTTTCTCTGTGTAGCTTTGGAGGCTGTCCTGGCACTCGCTCTGGAGACCAGTCTGGCCTCGAACTCACAGAGATCCACCTGCCTCTGCCTCCTGAGTGCTGGGATTAAAGGTGTGCGCCACCAACGCCTGGCCTAATCTGTGCCATTTTTATCTAGTCAACAGCCATATAAAAATTTAAAGTATATAATATAGATTTGTTTTCATTTAAAACAAACTATAACCTTCTACAACGGTATAATGAAAATTAGGACCTGGTAAAAATAAACTGTACAGTCAGCAGCTACTTAGGAAGCATTCCCTAGTAAAACTGCGCACTTTAATATGTTCGTGACTGGATCTCTGAAAGCTTCCATACCTGGCGTTAGCAGTATGACTGAGGTGACGATCAGAGAGCAGATGACCAGGATGACGAGCAGTGCGATTGCAATTCCTTTCCAGTTTCTCTGCGGAGGGTTACTCCCCACCAGTTCCTAAAACAACCACAGGAAGACAGAACTCAGTGAGCATGACAAGGGGGACAGGCCAAATCACAGCTGTTGTTTCATTCATGACACAGGGCGGTGGCAGAAGCCTCTGGCACTAGCCGCTCTCCCTGCGGCACTCCAGGTACCTGCTGTGTCCTTCCTCATGTCAGGGACAGACGATCTCCACAATGACTCTAACATGATACCATTTTTAGAAGAATTGCCCCCCACACACACACAAAATACCCCCATGAACTAGAATACCGTGCAGGCACGTGGAGTCTCTCTCCATGGAATGTCACTCAAGTGTGACGAACATTGCTAGCCCCAGGTCTTCTCTTCCCCCTTTCTTTATTTATGTCCACACTACTAACTCTGACCAGTAGCAGCCATGCTTGAACATTTAGTTAGCACACACTGTGTGTTAGCTTCTCTGTGTGGCACTTATCATGAGCCTGGTATTCCTGCTACAGCCCTGTGAGCAAGTTGCAACGTTCCTTGGGCCTCACTTCCCTGGGTCTCTCACCTCTCCTATGTTCTCAGCATCCTCCCTGGAACAACATGAGCAGGGTGGAAGGGAGATATGGAGCCGTCTCTCAAGGATGTCAACATGTGAACAAATCTAGGAACTAAACAAGCTCGTGGCACAAGGAGACTAAACTTGTTACCTTAAGATGAGGGTGACCTTCACTGGGATTCCTTGAAAGTGGTGCATTACTAATATCTAATAATAAGTACTGTATATAACAGTTAAATAGTAGTAATTCTCATTAATTCTACAGAAAAATTTATATAGCAACAAAGGACATATGACCTCAGTGCAGCTATGCACACCATCCATCTGAGAATATTGCCTCTTATAGTGTCCATCAATTGAACTCCTGTTAACTAAGCCAAGAAGTAGGATAAAGATGGTCTTTAAGTAGATACAGTGTATAAATACATCTTCATCCTCAACTGGCTGTTCATTTGAAGGTATAAAATGGCTACAAACCAATAAAACAGGCAACACTTGATTACCATGTGCCTTTTCTGGCTCGGACGTACACATAATATGATATCAAGTCATGGCTGCAACTTAAGAGAATGTCAGGAGATCAGCTGTTGCCTTGCTATTTATCACCACCACTGCTAAATAATGCAGAAATACCTCACGGACAACAGTAAGTGAACTCAGAAGTGAGTGAAGAAAGGGAAGAGTTTTCTATTGTGCTCTTAGTCTCAGAATGGAAGGTTGGAGTTTTAGCTTTTGCGGGGAGGATGGGTCAGCTTACAGCATTTGGAGACCAGCATTCGTCAAGCTGCAGACAGCTACACATGAATAAAACACTTGCTTCTCGTGATGAACACACAGCCTCACATAGCTAAAGGGACAGCAGAATAACACACAGCAGAGGTAAGAGGAGGTGAACTCTCAGCAAACAAAGGAGACTAAGGTATTGAGGTGGCACAGGAGTTGGCAGGTGGCAATTGTACAGCAGGAGCTGCACTGATGGCATGGGTATAATTTTCTGGTCACGATGGGACAGTGGGTGGTTTCACGTTTTATTTTTTTGTTGCTGAAAGCAGAGGGGTCAACCAGATGGCCCTCTCACCAGGGAGTAGGAAGTATATTCAAGCCTCTCCCTTATGATAATCCATATTTCAACTCTCTCTATCAGGCACTTTTTAGAAGCACTTTTTAGAGACTATAGGACTCTGGCTCCCCAAATAGAAAAACAAAACCAAAAACCAAACCAACCAACCACACCCCAAACCCAAAAAACCCCAAACCCAATATTAGGCAACTAATAATTTTAAATGTTTGAAACGAGTATGCATATGCCAGCAGCTTGATGGGCAGCCAGTGAGTAGCCTATCTTGCTGCAGGGCCATTTCAGATGCAATCCAGCTGGAAACCCCTCCCACCCAGGTTCTCCCCTCCTCATCATCGTGTGTCTGTCTTTGCTAGTTTTAAGTGTGAGGGATGTAGCCATGAAGTACCAGTGAAGGCTGGATATAAGGGAACAACTCAAGTAAAAAACCAATTCAGGGGGACGCGCGCGCGTGCGTGCGTGCGTGCGTGCGTGCGTGCGTGCGTGCGTGCGTGCGTGCGTGCGTGCGTGCGTGCGTGCGTGCGTGCGTGCGTGCGTGCGTGCGTGCGTGCGTGCGTGCGTGCGTGCGTGCGTGCGTGCGTGCGTGCGTGCGTGCGTGCGTGCGTGCGTGCGTGCGTGCGTGCGTGTGTGTGTGTGTGTGTGTGTTTGCGTGTCTGTGTGTATGAAGACATAGTCCTGCTCTCTGTAAAACTTCTGTTGATCAGTCAGACTTTCTTTAGGTTAGCTAGCCCAACTTTGGAAGATTGGCAGTTCATCTCAGGGTAAGAAGGGCAGGTACTTCCCAGGACCATTAGGCAATGTTCTCAAGGCCCCTTCTCTCTGACCTCTGTCCACTGCCTTCTATCATGCTTGTTCTAGTTTGATTTCTGTGTCTGTGATAAAACACTCTACATAAACACAACTTAAGGGAAGAAAGAGTTTATTGATTTGGCTTACACTGCCAGGTCATGATCTTCCACTGAGGAAAGTTGGGGCAAGAGCTCAAGCAAGAACTTGAAGTGGCAACCATGGAGAGGGACACTCCTTGGGGCCTACTTGGGATCAGGTTCAGTTAGCTTCCTTATATAGGACCACCTGCTCAGGGAATGGAGATGCCCACAGTGGACTGAGCCCTCCTATAGCGGGTAGCAGCCAAGATACTTTCTCACAGACATTCCCACAGGCCAATCTGATCTTGTCAACCTCTCTATCTCCTGAGCTAATTGGGAGCATGGGGGAGAGAGGGAGCTAGAAGAAAAAGAGGGGGAGAACAGGAGGGGAGAGGAGGACATGAGAGAGCAGGAAGATTTAGTCAGGGGAAGAATTGAGGAGAGCAAGAAAAGAGATACACAATAGAGGGAGTCATTATAGGTTTAAAGAGAAATCTGGCACTAGGGAAATGGCCAGAGATCTACGAGTTTGACCCCAATTAACAATCTAAGCAGTGGTTGAGAGGCTAACTTAAATGCCCTTCTCAGATAATGAGATTGATGACTACCTTATATGCCATCCTAGAGCCTTCATCCAGTAGCTAATGGAAGCAGAGGCACCCACCCACCGCTAAGCACTGAGCTGAACTCTGGAATCCAGTTGCAGAGAGGGAGGAGTGATGAGCAAAAGGGACAGAACAAGACTGGAGAAACCCACAGAAACAGCTGACCTGAACAAGGGGTTGCTCATGGACCCCAGACTGATAGCTGGGAAAACAGCATAGGACTGTTCCAGAACCTCTGAGTGAGAATGTCAGTTTGGAGGTCTGGTTAATCTATGAGGCCTCTGGTAGTGGATCAGTATTTATCCCTAGTATACAAATGGACTTTGGGAGCCCTCTCCACATGGAGGGATACTCTCTCAGCCTAGACACATAGGGGAGGGTCTAGGCCCTGCTCCAAATGATACGACAGACTTTTAAGATCCCCATGGAAGGCCTCACCCTCCCTGGGGAGCAGAAAGGGGTTGGGATGGGGGATTGGGAGGAGCATAGGAGGAGGGAAGGGAGAGGGAACTGGGATTGACATGTAAAAGATGCTTGTTTCTAATAAAATAAAATAAGACTTTCTTCTCAGGTGACTCTAGCGTATGCAAAGTTGACAGTTAATGCTGTTTCCCCACCAGACTCTCCTGGAGCTTTTTGGGTCGTCTGGGTTCCACTTATCTTTTCTCATATATATTTAGGAACTTCTCAACTTGACTGCTTCATATAATGTGAAACATAAGGAAAACATTTGAGGATGTTCTCTTCCAACAAAGATTTGAAGTTATCTACAGGAGATCTTGAACCCCTCAGTGAGATTATTACAGGGAATAGTGATCCTAGTTCCCCTAGGCATCTTATAGATGCTGCTAGGCAAGTGCTGGCTCAGGTAGAATATGTAATTCGACACCAGCAGATAAGCTATGTTGACTATACGATACCATGGGAAATCTGTGTGCTTCCTACATGACATATTTCAACAGCTGTGTTATGGGAAATGGGTCATTATTGCAGTTGCATCTACCTGTTTCCCCAGCCCAAATGTTGAGCCCTTATGAAGCAGTGGCTTGTTTAGTACAAAAAAGCCTGATAGAATCTAGGCTATTTTTTGGTAGAGAACCAAGGGTGATCAATGTTCCTTATACTAAACAGCAAGTTGATTGGTTATTTTAAAGTAATGATTCTTGGGTGATTGCTTTTGCTCAGTTTTGGGGCCAAATTGATAACCATTTTCCAGCTGACTGGTTGTTGCAATTTGCCCAAGTGCATTCCTTTATATTTCCTAAAGTTGTGATGAAAAATCTCATAAAAGATGCTATGCTGGTTTTTACTGATAGTTGTGATATATTGTTTATGATTTATTAAAGCCACTGGAGAACAAAATAGCAAAGCAGCCATACTAGTTAGCCACAGATGCCAGGCAGTGGTGGCACATACCTTCAATCCCAGGACTCAGGAGACAAAGGTAGATGGATCTCTCTGAGTTCAAGTCTGCCCAGGGCTATATGAGATTGAACCAGTCTAAAAGAATAACAGAGCTCTCTACTTTAATCCCAGCACTCATGAGAGATATTTAAGACAGGAACAGCGTCTCAGAGCTGGCATTCATTCTCCAGCCACACTGAGCTTAGGAAGGCATTGATTCCCCAGCCACACTGAGAAGATGCAGCAGTCTGAGGTTTGGTGAGAAATCCTGGAGACAGGATCAGCCCTTTCAGCTTGAGGTAGAGGTAGAGCTAGTGGCTTGGCTGCTTTGCTTTTCTGATCTTCAGCTTGAAGCTTGAACCCCAATATCTGTCTTTGAGTTTTAATTACCATGTTACATATGGTTTCTCCAATGGAAGAGCTGCTTAATGGTAATACAAACAGCTCCAGCTTCAGCTGAGATAGTAGAATTATGAGCTATAGCAATGTTTTCCAGCTTTTAGTAAATAGTTCATTTAATTTGTATACTGGTA